GATTGTCTTTTATTATATAAATTAAAATTCGAATTCCTGGAGCCTTGAAGCTTCTATTCCTATTTTTCCTTTCTCTCTCATTTTGGGGAGAATCGCCTAAACAACGATATACTTTTCATATGTCTCAATTTAATAACCTTACTTTTTTTATATAAATAAATAAATAAACTCTTCACTCTACGTAATTAACAAAGTATTTTCTTTACTTTTTAAATTTAAACCAAAAAACTCCATTAATTTTCAGACGGAAATTTTAAATAGTAAAAACAAATTCGTAAATCATTCTTCACACCACACCATCGACACTTATAATTTAAGTACCAAAACCCTAATCGGGTTTAATTAAAAATAAACCAAACTAAAGCCAAAAATTATTTTCTATTTGATTCTTCTCACTTAAATGCTTAAAATCGAGGTCGAACATTCGAAACCCTAAAAACTCGATTTCGAAAACCCTAGATACCCTCTGCATAGTCGTGGAGATTTCTTCCCCATTACTCTATTTTAATTCGGACCCTATTTGCTCCTCTGAAACCATAAACCCTAAAAAGTTTCTCCATTTCGAACCCTACTATGTCTGGTTTCTGGGTGGCTTCAAAGAAAGAAGCGACTGTGCTGTCCAGGTCTAGCGCCGAGGCCTAAAGAAGGGTTACCGGGCAATGCCCTCCTTGGATGCCCACTTCCATCGGGGTGTTTGGGACACTCGATTCCTTAGAAACTCCTTGGACTCTATGCCCTCGAATAAAAAAAAAAACGTTCTTTCTTCTCCTATGAAATTTCTAGTTTGATCGAGAGGGCGCTCCGGCAGGCTAGCAATCAGAAAGGACGACTTCGGATGCCTTTTGTTCTTGATTTGGATGACCCTCATGAATTCACGTGATCTCATTGACGAACTCAATCGTCTTTTTGTGACTGTTTAATGGTCCAAATCATATGCGGACAGCTCCAAGTATACATGCAAAATGAATAACTCGAATTATTTGGACTATATAACTTAGTATTTAATATATTATATTAGCCCAAACTATTTGAAATTAATATGGATCGGATAAATCCGTAAAATCTGGTTAAACATAACTAGTCTAATTAGACCAATTAGTCTATTGAGAATTTGAGATTAGGGGCCATTTCGGGTTGAGGTTGAGGTTCGATTCGGTTATATTCGGATTCGGTTATTTCGGTTATAGAAAAATTATAACCATTCGGTTTTTATATAAACTTTGGTTTGATTCGGGGTTTTAGTTTTTTCGGTGATTTTTTTTATTCGGTTCGGTTCGATTTCAATTTTTTCGAATTTAAAAAAATCATAACCGTTCCATTTTGATATCGCGTTCAGTTTGGATAAAATTATATTTTATTTAGATAAGTTCGGTTATATACCGAATATAACCGAACTACGACCACACCTAATTGAGAGATTTAGGCATATAATGTTTATAAATAAAGTTAAGAAATCTATGATTCTGTTTAACATCTTTGTGGTGATTACTCTAAAAAAATCCGAACTTTATCCAATAAAGCGCTCTTTTGGACCGTGTTGTGGTGCACCCATTCAGCTTTGTCCCATCTCTGTTTCCATTCCATTTTCTTGATATTGATGTTACATAAGGAGGAGAAAGAAAAGGACAGAACAGAGACTATGAAACAAGCTTGGGCTTTTCCTAGTACTGTTATTAAAACAAGAGAAATATAACTAACTGAAAAAAATATACACGTTGAAAGCTAAGGCCGAAATTTTTACATCATCCGACTATGGATTTTGGTTTGAAACCTACGCATTGAAGCCAGAGCAAGAAGAGCCTTTGGTGTTAGTGTGGAACCTCCACGAGAAAATATAGTTCTTGGACATGCAACTGAGTCTCGCCACGTGACAGAGAGTGTCGACGAGCTTCTTGTCCTCGTCTCTTCCCCACTCGATCCTCGCCCAACAGGAGAACCCGTTGTCCGAAAATGGCGGTCTCGGATCGCAAAGACAGAGAATCACTTCCCCACAAATCCTCTTCCCTCTGTTTGTTTTTCCGTTGACCATGGAATCCATCCATGAACACTCTGGTTGACCCACCATTTCCTTGAACGCCGAGTTCACGAGCCTTACCCTGTTGTTAGAATCAGTGATCAGAGCAGGCAAGTCATCGGATTCCACTTCTTCTTCAACCTCTTGTGATGTTTTGGTAATTTGATATCGTATTGGTGAGTTCTTGTCTGGGTTTATGCAGGAGACACTGATCTTGGAACCGACAGGACGAATTGGATGCGGAGCTATGACTCTGTTCGTGGTTGTCGCGATGGAAGGTCCTTGTAATTGACCCAAGAAATCCCTTTCCTTTAACGATTCTGCAGACATGTTCAAATCAATGACTCTTTTCTCCTTCCCTTCAAGTTCCATGCATTTGGTTTCACCAGACAGAGGGGAAGTAGTAGAACACTGAAGGAGAGGCAGAGTCACCAAACCAGAGGACCCAACAACATTCTCCAACGCAAACCCAACTTGGGCAAGACCTGGAATCGCCTGAAACGACAGCGTTTGAACGCCAGGGAACCCAAGAACATGCTGCGAAGTGGGTGTAACCGTCGTCTTGGTCCTTTTCAGACCAAGAAGAGTCGGAGGCGATGAGGTCATGGAGCCTCTGCCACGCTTCCGGGTTCTTGTGGGTCTCGCCTGAAGCTGAGGCCAGAGACTTCGAAGGTAAGGAGACTGGTTGATCTTGTGAGACATGGAGGATGAAGGGTCATCGTTGTTCGACGGAGACGTCTCGGGCTTTGGAGCAATAGGCCGATACTTAGACAAAATCTCCGCCGTCTTGAGAGTGGTAGTGGCAGGCGGGTTTGTTGAGAGCGAGAGTGAGAGTAAGGCTGAGGGTTGAGTATCTTGATCATGGCTTTGGAGGACTAATTCAAGAACAAGAACATGAAGAACAAGGAGACGATGTGAGGATGTGTTTTTGGGAGGAGGGTTTACTCTAAGAATGGAGCCGATGAGAGAGAGAGGAGTGACATTTGGAGGGAGGACGATGGGTACGTGTTTGAGAGAGTTGAAGATAGGGACACGTGTGAGATTCGAGCCCATATTATTACAATTTCAAAAGTCACTGTATGCATGTGTGAGTTGTGTCTCTGTGCTGTGGTTTTGCCGTATTGAAGGATTTAGGGTTTCACCAATCAGAGAGAGACCCTCACAGCAACGCGTGTGGCAGAAGAACGTCATGCGTGCCTACACCTATCCGCCTATCGCTTCCACCTTTGACTTCGTGCCCTCTCTCTTCTTGTTTCTGTACTGTACCATGAAGTGTGTATATACACGCATACATGTATATGTATAGGTGCCCAAATTGTTCGAGTTGACGGTGGTTTAGGGTTTTTGATTCATTGGATAAAATGAGGTTACAAAACTTTCAATATAAATTTACTCACTCCACATGGTTGTTAGATCATTTACCCTTAACAACTAACCAGTCGATATATATATATATATGTATAATATGCCCATAATACGTTCGTATAATAAACCTAACGAACCAAAGGTGCAAATAATGGTCACTGATATCTCCTTTCGCAAAATTTAAGAAGAAAGAAAAACTCGCAAAATGTGAGTGTCGAAGACATGATACACGAACACGAGGCTGTTTGCAGCGCCTGTCTGCTCCATGCAACGGTGGGGATTTGATAGACAGATGATTGTTTGATTATATGGAAAAATAAAATAAAGTGGATGTGCATTTTTTGTACGTAGAGTGACACGTGGCATGTCCTCAGTCGTACGTGTCGTTCTCATGTTTTCCTACTGACTGTCTCCCTGCCTTCACCGTTTTCCAACCTATGCTTCCCCGCCACCTTTTTAATGGAATATTTGTGCCTTTTAACGTATACACATCTTCCTTTTTTGTGTATTTGCACTAAAAACCACTCCAATATATAATTACAATGGGAATACTAATTTTATAGATATTTGAGTCATATTTTATATGTATAGAAGAATCGAAGTCTTTCTCGTGCATGTAATGGGACATGGAAAAAGAAAAGATTATTCGTGTGTCACTCGTCAGACATGCTAACAATCTGGTTAGATGGTCCACGAATGGTACAAAGTTTTTATAATATTTGGAAAAACTGTTTCTAATAAAAAATATAAATTTTAAACACCAAACCCTGTCAATATATATATATATATATATATATATATATATATTAGTAACAAAATATCTTAGACCGAAGTTATGATTAATTTCAAAGACCGAACCTTAATTTATCGGTTAAATTATCTAAATTTAAATAAATTCTGCTACATTATACATTACATATTCATATATTTTAATACATTTTATTTTTTTATATGTATAATATTATTAACACTAACACACATGAATGTAAACGAGTTCGCATTTACAACCTTTTCTTTTTTTTTTCTCGACAGGCATTGCCACAATATACATTACGAATTCGTATATATTATTACAAGATTAGATCTTTCGTAATATAGATTATCTCGGGTTTTAGAGAATATAAAGGGACCCCCCTATACTTATGTGTCTATGTTTAAAGAACAAAAGAGTAGAAAAATAACATATTACAATATGTGATCGATTATTTTGTTTGATTATATGTGATTTGGTTAAGATTTATTTGAAGTTTTTAATTTTTAAAATGCGATAGAGGTTTATTTGGTTAAAAACTTCAATTCAACATTTCAAATAAATAACTGCAATATCTCAAATCCAATAAACAAATACAATAAATCATTTTGGGCTTCGGCTTATCATGCCTTGCTATTTCAACAGGTTTATGTTTTCGAGACGATTGGGCCGACAGATTACAAAGAGACTGGTATTGGGACACATAAGATGATTTTAGACTATCATATAAATTCTATATATGTTCTAATAATATTAAGTTTAAATAATGGGTTTATTTAGATCGTTCTATATCCGATTTATCAATTTGGAGTTTACTGGTACGTTTAAAATTACGAGTTCTTGTATTTGTTTCAGTTTTATAAAAGATTTATTCGAAACTACAGAGAATTTCTATTATTACCATGTTTTTAGTTAATTTAAATTTTATTTATTTTGTTATAAATTTTGCTAGACTATCTATTTAAATAGATTTAATGAATAATAATGTACTGTAATTTATAAGTGTCATCTTTATTCTCATTGTTTTGGTGAGATTTAGCTCGAGTCTTTTTTCTTATATATTTGATAAGTTTATCAATGTACATGGAATATTTTATAAAAAGGATGATTTTGTTTCCCTGTATATAAAAAATAAAACCGCATACAATAAAAAAGTCATACGTGAAAATAGGAAAATTACGAGGGATAGGCATAGAGGCAGAAAAATATGAAAGGGAACGAACCTATCCACATCGGTTCATGTCGCATATGATTCGACCGACCCAAAAAAATTTCATGACGTGACCAATCGACATGTGCACAAATTATATTGTCCTCGTTATTATTATTTCTGTTTATTTTATTCCTATGTTACTGTTTTCATTTTCTACCAATAATATTCTATATGTATATATATAATGTCGATGTCGTAGAGCCGGTGACCAATCCTGCAATTCATGATTTATTCTTTTTTTTTACCAAAATTTATATTATCGTCCAAAAAAAAATAAAGTGCATGACATTGTAGGATTCATTGGCTCTTCCACGACTTGGAGGGTCGTAAAGGGGATTTCTTTTTCCCCGAGTATCAAAATACACGATAAAATATTTTTTATATAGGAATTTAAAAAGAAATTATGCATTTAATTTGGTATAAATTAAACGTCGATCTAAGGATGCATGGTTATTTTTATCGTTTGCTGTTTTAACTATGGTTTAAATTGATGATATTTGTTTATTTATTTGTTTTGAGTTTCAATCATTTCAAACTATAAAAATGAATCGATTATTGTATTATTATATAATAATCATTATACATTGAATGGATAATTTTGTCCAAATTTGTGTATAAAATGTGTGGTTTATTTCAATCATTCTACTAAAGTGTTACCAAAATAGCACATATATAGATACCGATAGGAATCATAATGAGCGTATAGTTTGAGCATAGTGTGTGTGTATATATATATATATACATAGAGCATGTAAGAAATCGGTATATTTCCTTCGCAATATATTGGGGAAAAAGATATGGAGATGGATCAAATGAATTCTAAATTATCAAAATGTATAGAACAATGACGTATTAATGCGCATAAATTTTTGTTTTTTCACACCATCTGTTATAAGGTTATAATGCTAACTCCGATTTTTTTATTTATTAAGTTTTGTAGTGATTTGTTTTAGAAAATTTGATGGAAAAAAAAGTTTTGTAGGGATTTGAAGGTTTTGAAAGAATATATATGGTGAGAAAAGTTGAGCTTTGTTGGAAAATTTGATGTGATTAGAAGAAGATAATAAAGAATATTAGTGCTATTTATGAGAAAAGTAATTAAAATTGATAAATTCGTATGTAAAGTTTAAGTGTGTATTGACATAAAGAGATGAAATCTTTAATTAATTATTCGAAATTTACATTATGACTATAATAGACAGGAGTGTGTATAAAAACCAAATAAATACGAAATTTTGTGACGCATATAATTTACATATCATTTTCAGAAGTGAATATATATATATATGCATACATATAATAAGACTTTATTAGTTTTGTCCAAGAATCTGTTAGGTGCGAGAGAGCCTTTATTATAATTTTGTTTTCTATTGTATGTGTTGAAGAATATATTTGACGGACCATGCATTTAAATCCCATGAACCTACCATATGCATGTTAGTGGCTTACACATATACATACACCATAGATATATAGAAGTGTATATATATATATATATGGATGACATACTTTTTATACCATGAACTGGCATCAACACAACAACACACAAATGTTTTTGTCTTTCCTTCTTCTTATCCTCATCATCATCACACGTAAAATTCTTACAACGAAATAATTTTTTTTTGTTCATATAGTTTTCTGTTTTGACTCATTACACAGTTACATGAATATAATCTATCAATCTTAAGATAGATTATGCATATATATATATATATATCTAAATATTTGTATTAGAAAAGATATCGAGAAAAAAATCAAATGGAAATGATATATAATATTTAAAAACATTATATATATATGTATATTATACTTTAGGGTTTCCTTTGACTTCTTATTTAACTTCTTTAGGTTTTATATCGCAAACAATCGAATACATAATTTCTCTCCGGTGACGATATAAAATAAATTGAAAGATGAATCTAAGTGCATTTGTTTTTCCTTTCTTTGGTAAAAAAAAAAATGGTTATAATTTATGTTAACACGTGTTCCCATCGTAGTAAAGTATATTGACTTTGGTCAGATTTGACGTTGACGTCTTCGTCAAACTGTTTCTTCTTAATTTCTCTTGGATATTGTTTTATGATAATCTTTTCCATGCACATATATTTGTGTATATGCATATATATATATATATATATATATGAATGCATGATGAATTTATAACGGTTGCATACAAAAAAACATGTAAACCACCGGTCAAATATACAACAATGTATATAATATCTATAAATGAAAGATAATCTAAAACAATGTGATGAACCATAGGGAACATTCAACATTTATCTCATTTACTTATCAGTGATGTCGACGACTTCTTCTATTACGATCTTCACAGTAAGATTACATTCACGTGGATAATAATACCCTTAGGCTCCTAAAGTTGGATATTTATTTATTGTGAAGCGTATAAATTGCCGGTCCATGTGCCTTTTATTTCTCTTTTTTTAATATTTATTTTACTACGTCATTCATTAAATTTAGGATTTTTGTGTTTGTATTTGTTGGTAACGCCATTGTACAAAATATCGACCATTGTCATAAAGGCATTCCGCAGAAGAAGACAAACGAGCAATTTCGTCAGCCTATACGAATCTGCCACATCACTTGACCTAGTTAGGTCCACTATTTATTTATATTTTCAGAATATATCAATATATTATGCAAACAATATATATATATATATATGTATATATGTCCAATCATAATTTGCATTTATGTAGTAAAGTGACATACCGAATTTCGATTCCGAAAAAGATTTATCTTTTTTTTTTCTTTTATAAAAAAGGTATAATTGGCCAATTTGTTCCAACCACAGTCCAACTTCAATGAACGTATGAGCTGTGTAAACTTGTCACTCACACACACACATACACATATATATATATATATATATATATATATACAATACATATTTTTCAACACACCCATAGCCATATAATACACACACATTTATGTGTGTGGAGCTGCCAAAAAAGATGGGAGTGTCGTGAGTGTTATCTGCCACGCCACGCATGGATATATATATATATATATATATATAGTTTAATTAATGAGAGAATATGGTGCATGATATGCACACATTGATATTAGTATTATATTACAAATGAAAACATAACAGAAAGAGATTCCCCTTGAAATGATTGACCCTTGTTTTTGTTTGAACAACAAAAACTTTTATGGGAATTAGGAATAGTTTTATATATAGAATTTGGCCGAACCATATAAATTGCTACACACACACACATATATATATATATTCAATAATTGAGTTATCTTCTCTAACGACCTCAAACTTAATTTAATTTGGTTGGTACTCCAGCATGGGGTGGAAAAATGATATGAAATTTAAACATATTTATCGCTCGATCGCCATACTGGCCAGTATAATATACACAATTTGTTATCTCTAGACATCTTTCTTTAGAATACCATTTATATATTGGTTCAAAGTATACATTATATATATATATAATTAATATTCAAAAAGGGTGATAGAGTTTTTTTTTTTATAACCCAAAGAAAATAGGTGGCAGAGTTGGTGATGTGAAAGGTTTTCTTGTAAGAAATCACGAATTTAGAACCAATTACTACTAATGTGTCTCTTTTATTGAATAAATTCGTTTACATTTTATCTGTAAGTTTATCCGGGTCATGTACTTTGTAGTTGTAGGTTATTTTATAAATTGTGATATATATATATATATATATATTATCTTATCCAATACCCATTTAAGCAAAACTAATCGCCAAATCTGTATATATTTCAAATTTTCTAATATGGAAGAAACTAAAAACACTATGTTGGTTACTTGGTATTTATATCTACATACTACACAAAGTTAAATTCGAATCTCTACTCTTCTTGAACTAATTTAACGCACGTATATAAAACAAGATAGATTAGAACGTTTTTCAACAATTAAATCCAATAGAATCATGTGGTGGACATAAATTAGGGTTCATGGCCTATTTATATATAGATGAGACCAAAGACCCCACCCTTCTCCATGAACTAAACTCGAACACGTGGACGCATTAAAAGCTTTCAACTCAAAACAAATTCATTACAATATATATATATATATATGAACACGTATATACACGCACACACACACATATATATATATATAGAGAGAGAGAGAGACGAGAGCATTGATAATAGATCGTACGGTTAGTATTTTTGGATTGGCTGACCTGGAAATAATTGTTGCATCAGTGGGAGCCCCTGAGGAGATTTCGAAGAGGGAGTGGGTCCCATCCACAGCTATTGTAGAAAAGTATCGCTGGGTTTTATTTTTCCACCTTAAAAATGGGAACTCTGTCTTTGTCCTTCTCCGCCCAATATGAAATGTGTATACACACACATATGAGTTTTCGAATTTGTATATAAATGGTATATACGTTTTTTTTACAGCTTTATTTAACAATTTAACCTTTTTATTGTTTTTTTCATTTCCACCACGTTAATGTTGAGTTATTGGGTATCATTTATCCATCTCAATTCGGTTATAAAAAAAATGGAATCGATATAAATTATTTAACACATTTGAATAGATTAGTTTTTTTTTAATTTAAAAAATTTAAATGAAACATAATTTAAAAATAAAATCATGTTTTTAAAAAGAACTATATTTATCAATAAAAAATAAATAAAATAAAATTCCAAAATTAAAAAAAAAAACAATATAGAAAATTGAATATTGTAGGTTTTTTAAACCCAAACGGAAAATAACAGATAAAAAATCTGAATTCCCTACTTTTCTAATCGTTGGTATAGGACATACTCTACATAATTCCAGGTAAAAACGTAGCAAGATAGCAATCTAATAAATATTTAGGATTTGGTATTTAGTCTTTCAACTATGACTATTTTATTTAATGACAAATGTAAAATAGATCTTATGTTTAACAAACAAAAAAACGGATCTTATAATATAGAGATATATATATATATATATATATATATACACATATGAATAAACATATAAAATAGTAAGATTTTGTGTGATGGCCAAAATTTGGCAGAAACCGAAAGCTGATGTAATGGTCATATGCAACGCCAACTGTCACAAGCTTTGATTGTGGCACTAACCGATGAAAACCATGTCATTCCAAATTCCCCCATCAAAATCCATAGCTTCTCCCCTCTCTCTCTCTCTTTTTTTTTTTAAAGTTATATATATATATATATATATATAGATTTATAGTCTATGTTCCTCATCTTATAATATAAACCCTTACCATCCCCAATACACACACACGCAGAGAGTGTTGACGTTCTCTTTCACATTCTTGATCACCAAACAAAAGCAATACAAAGAGCAAGAACGCGAAAAAAAGGGTTTTTTTTGGGGGAGGGGGTTTGAAGAGAGATGGATTTCACGACATCTCCGTACAGTGGAGGAGGAGATTCTGGATGGACCATGTACTTGGAACAATCCTACGTTTCGGCAACTCAAAACGACGTCGGATACGGATTCTACGGCCGTGCCGAGGAAGAGGACTTGTCCATGGTGTCCGACGCTTCCTCAGGGCCACATCGATGCAACTTATACGACCGCGATTGTTACTACCAGGAGAACAACGACAATGGGTTTTCGCTCTCTGGTTCTTCTTCTTGCGAATCCTCGATGAAGAAGACGACTAAGAAGAAGAAGAATGATATGTCGAAGGATCAGCCAGAATGTTATGGCGGCGGCAACTCTAATCAGATGTATTCATGTCTTGACGACACTGCGAGCTCCGATATGCACGTCTTCTCATCAGAGGCAAGTTTATACACACACACACACACACCTGTACGTATGTGCGTATATATATATTTATGTATGTATAGATGTATGGAGATGAATCGGTTTGTGTTCTTGCAGAAGGGTTACAGTGCTTATGGAGAAGACGTATCTGAGGGAGACACATTGGGCTTCTCTGAAACCAAATCAAAGGTTCGGTCTCCGCTCTAAAGAAACATAAAGTTTGTTCCTTTTTTTTTGGGTTCTTCATCGAAATCTAGAACTCGACTGAAACAGGACAAAAACTGTTCTGAGAAGCTGTTTCATGCCGTTTTTATTTTCCAGGGAAAATCTGGATTCAGGAAACATTTGAGGTTCTTCCAGCCATCGGTTCCCGAGAAACCAGAATCTGAAGGAAAAGGTATATACGTTTCTGTATAAAGACAACAAATCTCATGACGATTATATGTTGACGTTTTTGGTTGAATGGAATGTATTTGCAGGTAATGGGACACAGAGAAGAAAAAGAGGATGATGGTAATAACAAGTGTTCTTGTGGTGAAGAAACCCAAAAAAAAAAGGTCCTCTTTTTCTGTAAATCTTTCATTTTTCCCTCCACTTTTCATCAGGAAAATAAACCCAGAAAGCAAATACTTTTGGGGAAGATATGGTGTTTTTGCGCCTTGCTCGAGTGATGTATCAAAATTGTATATGCTTATGTTAATAGCTAATGGCGGGAGACAAATCAACATTTTGTTTTCTGTAAAATCTGTAAATAAACATTAAATGTTGATTTGTCACTTTTGAAAATTAAATTACGGAAGCAAAAGATAAAAAAAATCGAAAATATCATTTATTACTGTATCTTTTTCTGGTGCTATTAAATGAAAACAACTCGTAGATTTATAAAAAAAATAATATTACACACTAATCAAGGATTTTTTTAATCAGTGATTAAACACAAAGGGGGGAAACAAACAAAGAAACGCATTGTCAGAAAGCTACGCCTACTGGTTCGAGATTATTGTCACGACGCTAATTAAATAAGAAAGTGACGATAATTAAGTTGGATTGGTTAGATGGGCTTTCAGGATAAGATTTGGTTGCAATTAAAGAGCGCATTGGATAAGGTTCTCGTTAACAATTATGGATAGTTAACAAGATTTAAGGAACTAGTGGTGGTCCTTGAATACCACAATGTCTCTCTGTACATACATATACATACATATATATATATATATATATAGACAAAATCAAATAGTCATTACACATAAGAAGGGTCCTAAAAGAGACACCTTAATCTTTTGTTTTCATGCAAAAAGAAAAGACCCCTCTCTCTCCAGCTCAAGAAAAATGGCGTGGCGTTTAGTCAATTTGGAGATTCCAAGTGTCATTATGAACTCTGAAACAGACAATCTTTATCCACACGCGGATACGTGTCTTTCGACAGATATGGATGCTTACCTACCAGAGATTTTACTACCACGATGAGAACCCGACTTTCGATTCGAAGTTGGATGTCAGATTGACGAGTCTGGTCTCGCCGCTGATCTTCTCTTTCTTTATTTCCTCGTCCCATTGTCTCTTTCAGGCGTTGGTATTTCGGTGCTCCGTACGGCTAATTGATCGGTTCGTGTTATTTGGTTCTGGAAAAACGAGTATCAATTAGTTATTATATTCGGTTAAGTTCGGTTCGAAAATTTTCAGTTTTGGTCCAGCTCGGTTTCTCGAAATCTAACCGAAACGCTCACCCCTAGTTTTTTTGGGTGAAAATCACCCCCTTTGCCTCTTTTCTCACCTCGTTCTCTTCGACTCGCCAGTCGGGTAGGTGGGCATCCTATAGGTATCCGGAATTTAAATATCCGATCGGCATGAAAATAACTTCCGGAAGTCCAAAATCCAAAATCCGAAAAAATCATAGGTTTGAGATAACAATGTAACATCCATTGACGAAGAATAAAAAGTGTCCGAAAAACGACACTAACAAAGTGGGTGAAAGGTGACAAAGTTATCGTCACGGTTTTAGATTCGATTTCATTGATAGGGAGGAGGAACACAATTAATTATAAAGGCTAATTCCGAATCCAAAAAATTAAGTGGATTGAAGGTCCGGTTAACCTCTAGAATAAAAAAAACGACACTAGGGAATCAAGTCGGCATCCAGAGTACGAATCTTTGAATATTATATTCCATTCTTAAGTTCGGCAAAAGTCGATAGTTCGGGGAAAAAAAGAAGGAAAAGATCCATTTTACGACACTACGTTTAATGTTCACATTATTTATTTTCTTTTGATCCAAACATTCCATGCAAACGATCTCTAAAGAGTGCTTTTCCATATGATTCAATTTTAGACCTATGACACAATCAAAACCACAAAAACGTTTCCACGTGGAAAGAAATCCATGCATCTATATAGTCCACTAACATTATGGACTGACTATTAGTAGGACGAATAATTGAACAGGCTGTACCCGAGTTCTCACTTGGATCAATATGTAGGATTTGGTCTGACATTCGAATTTCGATCTATAAAAAAACTCGGCACATTTTTTTTCTTGATAACAATGGAAACCCCCCATACAAACCTTCCGACCAGACCCCGCATCGCCACACATCTCTCGGGCTGGATAATCGATATCACGGACAGTAAACCACCGATCCTACGCAATAGATGGCAAACCACACCGGTAAACCAGCTAAAACTGACCGAGAATTTCAATACCCAGGTTTCGAACCCGGACTTGGGTTGCGAAACTACCCAAAAACTCGCACATTTTCCACAAGTAGACAGATAGAAAGACCATACACTCTAATCCCACAAGCAACATTGGTCTGAATGGTAAGTAGAAATCAAGAAACAACAAATATAAAGGTTAAAAAGAATTGGGTTTTTAACAAAATCCATTCTTGTCCTGTGGCATTACATTACACAACATGGGTTTATATATATATTATATTATATATCCCCCACTGAAATTTTCACCCTCCCATCAAAATTCTGAGCGATTTATAACCCCACGAGAGAAATCTATATGAGACACCCAAAAAGAAAGCAACATGTTTTGCTTTTGTCATGCTTCTCTGCAACTGCTATGGCGTTTCCACTAATGATACCACTAACCCTCTTCAGACCACAGAAAAAAAAAAGGTACCTTTCTTGAGACAAAACCCTCCGTTTTGTTTCCTTTATGTCCCGAAAATATGTCTGTGAACTGGTCTTGTATCCAAACTCTTGACAACTTTCATCCATGGTTTCTCTATTACCAAGATGGAATTTTTAGACAGGTGCCCAACGAATAGAACCGGATGGTTGGAGGGTTTGATATCAAAGTTCTTTCTTCTCTTGCTGGCCCTAGAGCTTAACTGATCTTCCTCCAATGGACGCTTTCGGGTTCCGTTACTGAAACTCAGGCCACCATTGACGAGCTTACCTTCTAGCCTTTTGGACAGATCACCATTCGGTAAGCTAGTCTCGTCTTCTTGTTCCACAGGCATATCAAAGTCAATAGAACATGTTGCCCTGTCACGCACGCGAAAGTTGCGATGAAAAGATTAGAAGGGTATATATGATTGTCTAAAAGCATAGAATATACATATAAAACAGCATAAACTGTATGTACTCAAAATAATGGATGTTTCATATTGCAATACCAAAGAAGCTATATCAAATGCAACATCAGGCAGCAAGCTTGAAAGAAAAATCAAGCTACTGTCCTGAATGACATCGACAGTATTAAGTTTACTCAACACCCACTTTCTATTTTTTTTCATAAATGGCGGCCACTGCATAAGAATCTGAACCTACAAGTAGCCTACAAGGAGAGAACTTCAAAGATGGTTTAAGAAATCTTGCATTTATACTTGGACATTGTTTGACATCCTGGAAGCTTGTTTGTGAAATATGTTAACCATATTCAGTTAAATTTAGAGTTCATAGTATTTTTCTATATCTAATACGGCAAACAATTTTGGATTAAAAAAAATCGAGTCTTTGTCCCTCGTTCATTTTCTAATCAAAACACTTACAACCAAAAGTCATAGAAAACTATAACTAATTGCATCTCTGTATGAGTTTCTCTGATACTCGTGAACTGAGCATAGTTAATTGATTTTGAATTTTATAATATTCAATGCTGTGAACACAGAGATTTCTAAAGGTATTTGCTTCCTCCTTTACACGGGTATTCATCAACTAATAGATGCACTGAGTTCATTCCGTATGTACCAACTCTGGATGCATTCATGACTGAGAATGAGAAAGAATGGTAATAGAAGGTCATGAGTACTGCTTAATTCCATCTATCCAGCAAAAAATTATAGATGCAAATTTGCCTGAGACATTAGTCAAAATAGAAGCAAGAAGCAGTACCTGGAGCTGTAAATGATTACGGATGATGAACTTTGTGATGGGGAGAACGAGAGCCCGATGACCTCACCGGGAAATTCTCTGTACCTCTCTGGCAAAACATCTTTATGTAGCGATGACCATTGTCCTACCTGTCTAGCCTCCACATCTAATACAAATAACTGGTTTGAAGAGGTCGATATCACAAGCACGTTACTATTTTGAGGATGAAAACCAGCAGTAGCAACCGATGCTTTGTCAAATCTTGATATGAACCAATGCTGCCTGTCTCATAGAGAAGATTAAAAAATTCAAAATTTAAGACTTCATAAAAAAATAATGAATACAAATACAGAAGCAGCTGAATGGAATGGAAGCCCTATTCTTCAACATCTGCGGGTATGGTTCAGTTCGGGCTTTCAATTTAAAGGAGGCATCAGAGACCCACCTCTGCGTCTCAAGGTTGAATATGTAGATATCCCCAAAGCAGTTGATGGCAGCTAACCACTGACCATCTGAACTGGTATACATTTTCGTTATTGGAGGTTCACTAGGCTGAGAATCACCTTCATGCTCCTTGCGGCATGGCATACAAGTATGAACCACTTCCATGCTACCGACATCAATAATCTATCAAGAAAATACTACTTAGATGTTTTGTAGAATCAAACAAACACAAATAACTTATGTGAATTCCAGATAACTGAAACAAAATTTTCACTCACATATATCCTTTTATCATGTCCAGCTGTTATCAACTGCGAGCCATCAGAGCTGAATACCATGGAATGAGCAAATGGAAGTTTAGGAAGTCGCCTTCTACTAACACTCCATGGATTTTTTGCCAGTTCAGTTCTCTTCAGTTCAAACAGATTGGGGCTAGTTTGATCAGAATAAGCAAAAAGTGATCCAGAGTTAGATATGGCACTGCAGATGATCCGGGAATTTTTACTCTTTACTTGAACCAATGGCTTTGTAGAGGTAGAATCACTGCTTATGTGAATACGCAGTACATCTAAAGAACATACACCTTGAACCAAAAGAAGAGAAGTCTGTTTGAAGACCGTACTATGTACCATCTGAATGGGTACTCTCTGAGGTGCAGGGCAAATATCATGTGGAGAGAACTTAGTAAACTCCTGAACTGAGTACGCAAAAAGCTTTGAGTCATCACCAGCAGAAATGAGCATGGGAACCCCTGAATGAGCCCATTTATAGTAGGCTGAGCCATCCGGCTTTTCCTTCCCGTGCTTTCTACGACATGCTCTTTTGGCATTTCTATCTAAAAATATTTCATCTTGAATGGAGTCTGCAGAAATTTAGATGCATGCAAATATTGTAATCTTGTGCAACCAAAAAATGAACTTACATGTAAACAGCATTACAAAGAACAACATAAATTTTGAGGAAAGTATATAACTCACAAATAAAATACTGACCTTTCTGACTAATTGGCTCAGCAACTGTTAAAGCCCTGATGTCGTGGGTATGAGGTCTGACATAACCAATATAATCCCACTTCTGATAGACAGCAGAAGAAGACTCCAAATCTTTTGAACCATCTGTATTGCCAGAGAAATTATAAAGAATAACCTAGAAAGAAAGTGAAAACAGAATTAGAAAGTCAATGACATTACAATCAAAAGCTCATACATCTGAACACACGTATAGAGCAGACAACCGTCTCCACATTTTGCCGAAACTGTAAGATTATCCAAAATATTTTACATGTTAAATTATAAATCCCAAGTCATGTTAAAAAGATGCTATTCTGTATTTTAACATCAACCTACAAAAAAGGGATGTATAAACGAGAAAAAGAAAGACAGGTCTTCAAAAATAACTCTACTACCGAATACCATAGTAAAACTTATCATATATCATCAGTTAGATCTACTGAGTAGAATAGCATTCTTGTAAATTAGTAGGTATTATTCACCTTTCCATCGGCGCCCGCAGAAAACACTCTGTTATGACTAGGACCGGCTGCAAGAGCATTAACATCACCTTTGTGGTTAGAATGTGCTTGCAAAAGGGTTCCATGCTGGCTGTCCCAAAATTGAACACTTCCTGTGCTATCTCCACTGACAATAACTCCACACCTAAAATAAGCAGATAGCACCTCAGCAAGAGAAAATACATACCGAAAAAAGCTAACAGGCGAACATGATCTTATGTACCTCAATGAAAGAAGCGACCAAACACAGAGCTCAGACCCACTTCCTAGTCCTCCATGGCCAACTGTTATTCTATATACCTCGTGACAGAGGTTGGCATCCCAGCATCTTATCATCCTATAGTGGTTGAGGAGCCGTAAACTATTAATAGCAAGAATCAATGGGCATTGACAGTTTCCCAAATAAATAAGCATTGAGCTTGTTTAGAAACTAAAAGTAAACTCACCCATCACTACTACCCGAAAAGATCCTCTGTGCATCTGGATTCCACGTCACACTTAGAGCTCGCCCTACGAAGATAATATTTCACAAATCTCTAAGTAGAAGCAACAAAAAAACAATGAGGGGAAAAGAACTTTGGCCAAGATGGATAAAGATGTCTCACCACTGACCCTAGGCAATGATCTGTAATATGTTAACTTGTTTAAGCCAGAGACATGATATATTCTCACGCAACCGTCATCACAGGCAGCTGCAATTCGTCTATACTCAGCCTCTGATTCCTCATTAACCTCACGCAAGTCATAATCATCTCCACTCTCACTTCCTTCATCATCATCGTCATCCGTTTTTTCACTCAAGTATCCATTCTCAATCCGCTGAGCTTTTGTATCTTCTACATCAATGGAGAGATCATTAGTGGGAGCCACAGCCATTTGCCAGATTGAGACTCCAGTTGACTCTAGCACAATCTGCGTATGAACAGAGAACCAAAAAAGAAACGTCTGAATAACAGATAGCCTAAACAATCGATCCGTTCAACTAAAATTGGCAGAAGAAAGCAAAACAAAAAAGGAAATTCAATCCAGGAACACCCACCTGCTTCAAATCGAAAAGATCCCACTCTGAAATCGTTCCATCTAGGCTCGAAGAGATCAAACGGCCGGAAGAACCAGTACGGCACCACGCGAGGGACGAGATTCTCGAATTAGGGTCACCATGGATGGTCTAATCGAAGGTCCAAAAGAACCCAAACCCCCGAAAGGTAAAAAAACCAAAAAACACAAATCAACTCTACATACTCCACAAATCCAAGAGACTTGCTAACGAGCTAATCGAAAGCAGAAGAAATAGGTTTCGAAATTGAAGCCGTAGAGTACGTACGAGTTGACAGTGCCATCCGACGGTGCCGGGAGCGACGAGCCAAACCTCAAGGGAACCGTCCTCGCGAGCCGCCGCTACCTTAGAGCCGTCAGCGACGTCGCAGCCGTCGGAGAAGGTGGTAAGGGCAACCACAGGGGAGGGCTTCCAATCGACGGAGCTGCACCGTAGCTCCCGCATGGCGGCGGAGAATTGACGCAGAAGAGCCACTGTAGAAGCAAGAGAGGAACAGGGAGAGAAAGAGGAGGCGAAGGCGAGTTAGGTTTGAGGGTTTTACTTAGTAAGAGGGGCACCAATTTAAACGGGCTTGGGTCGACCCAAACCCGACCCGGATGTTTCGGATTTTTTTGTTTTGTTTTTTAAACGAATCCGCAGACTGTAGTAAATGATCTACTAAACTCATTCAATCATGCATGTAACTAACACACACACACACATATATATATAATATTTGATGTTTTATTATATGGTCTTGACGATTTTTTTTCTCTTATTTGACTATGTCCGTCAAATTCTATAAACTCCAAAAATGTGATGGACTGTAATATTAAATCTCTATATAATATTTATATAAGTTTTTTTTATCATACTACTGAATTATTTCTTTTTCTATGTGGAAATAAAAAATATCTAGAGGCCAAAAAATCTACTAAAAAATATTTAGTTTTAAATTGATAACGTAGATTCTAAGAAAAAAAAATATCATTGAGTGAGAGAATTTTTTGTACCAAAGGAAACTACCAAAATCCTTCAGGTGTAGAGTAAACTCATCGGTTCCACGTAATAGTTTGTAAATCACGTGGAACAAATAAATAAATCGAAACTGACATGTTCAGAAAAAAAAACTCATATTTTGGAGGGTTGTTGAACCCATAACCTCCACCTAGAAAGACAAGGCTCTCAACCAACATAGTTGGAAGCTTACCGACTGTAAATGAGAGCTGTTATTACATACAAAGAGTACAAATGTTTGTATATATAAAAGACTTTTAAAATAAGAAAAGAGATAATATATTACTAATTTGTAAGATATATAGAAATATTGTAGAGATAAAGAAACATCAGTGCAGAGTAATAGGGTTACGCATGAGCGTGGCCATGATTTTCTGTGTACTGAAACCCGAAGGCGTGCCCGTTTGGGTATAGAGTTCGTGCATGTCAATCGGATACCCAAACTTCGAGTATCCAAAGAAGCTCCAAATGCTTGGATATCCACGCAGTAACTCGGTCGGTTAGGACAAGAGTTTGAGCCGCCAAGGAGAAAGGTGTAGACGGAGAGAGATGTATGTGAGGAGCAACCAAACCAATCTTGTAAGTTGTAAGACCCCGCGGACATTACAGTGTTGAAATTATCCTCACGTACCAATATAAGATCTTTTAACGTGTTATGTTTTCACTCGTACATATTTTAGAAAGTGTTTTTCAAGAGGTGATTTATCTTGAGACTAATATGAAACAAGCACATTCAATTTTGAATTTTCTTATAATAGACAACTGAAAAAATAGATTCATCTTTTTTATATGAATAGTTTAATCACTTTTTTTAAGTGATTTCATATTGTATACACTACAAGAAAATCTTCATATAGCGACGGAATTTGCGACGGAATTTTTCCGTCGCAAACAAATTACGACAGAATTCGACGGTTTTATGACGGAATGCGAAAATTTTTATTCCCTCGCAAATAGTCGCAAAATCCGCGACGGAATACGACGGAAACGTTGTCGTCGTAAAACCAAACATTATTTGCGACATAAATTTTAATATTTGCGGAATTTGCGACAGATTTGCGACATAAATTTTAATTTCTGTCGCAAATCCTAATTTCATTTTTTTCGTTATTTTCGATGAAAATTTTCAAATTTTCGCGGTTTATTTTTCGTTTTGCGATGGATTGCGACAGAAATTTCTGTCGCAAATCCAAATTTTATTTTTTTCGTTATTTTCGATGAAAAATTTTAAATTTTCGCGGTTTATTTTTCGTTTTGCGACGGATTGCGACGGCAATGTCCGTCGCAACACTTAATAAAACTGCGACTTCGTCTTTCTCCTCCAGACTTCGAAATTTTAAAAAAAATCTCAATCTTATCCAATCTTCTCCAACAAATTGTTTTTCTTCAAAATTCGCCAAGATATGTGTATATATATCGTGTATATGGATATGTATATATGTGAATGTATGTGTATATGTATGTATTGTGTATATATATGTGAATGTGAATATGTGTATGTGTATGTGTGTATGTATATGTGTATGTGAATGTGTATGTGTTTATGTATGTATATGTGTATGTGTGTGTGTTTATGTATGTGTATTGTATATGTATGTGAATGTGAATATGAATGTGAATGTGAATGTGTATGTGTATATAAATGTGTATGTGTGTTTATGTGATGTGTATGTGAATATATATATATGTATATGTATGTGTATATGTGTGAATATGTATGAATGTGTGTTTATGTATGTGTGTAATGTATATGTATATGTGTATGTAATTTTATATGTGTATGAATGTGTGTTTATGTGTATGTGTATATATATGTATGTGTATATAGATTTATATGTGTATATATGTATGAATGTGTGTTTATGTATGTGTGTGTATGTAAATGTATATGTGTATGAATATATGTGTATGTATATATATGTATATAAATTTATGTGTATATGTATAATGTATGCGCATATGTGTAATATATATGTATGTAAATATATGTATACGTGTGTATATGTATATTATATATTTTTTTAAAATTAAAAAAAAATATTTGCGACGGATTTTTCCGTCGCAAATCCGTCGCAAAACGCAGATTTTGTTATTTTTTTTAAAAAAAAAATATTTCCGTCGCAAATTCATATGTTTCTTGTAGTGATAGTCCCGTATCTATAATGCCCCATTCAAAATGATGTTTGTCGCATGATAAAATCAAGTTTGCCCTCTATTATAATTTTTCCTAGATGCAACCATATATACTCTACAACCAAAGCCACAACCACTGGCCATCGTAAAGTTGGGTCGAAGTTCGGATTCTTACTCTCCCTAGACATGTACATCTTGGTGATGGACAAATATCCGAACTTTGAATATCTCGTCAACTCGGACAATCATGTTGTCATGTCCAAACCCAAAAAAAACATCAAATGAAAGAATAGAAATTGGTTCTTGACTTAAACACCAGATACTATCGGGAGATTTGAAAAATATTATAGAGATACGATAAAATCATGAAGATATTATAAGATATATTTAGGATATTTACGTTGATTATATTAAATATTTAGTTTATTTATTTACTTGTCATCCACCTGTATAAGTATATATCAAATTATCAAAATATCTTTGAAGTCAACAATTTTTTCAAGATACTGGGTTTAGGTACCCGACTACTCGAATTTAGCCACAGAGACTCCAGTCACGGGTATCGACTTCACGAAAACGAAATTAGATAATACTTTTGTAAAACCCGTAAAGACGAGATCAAAGTCGGATACCTCTAAAAACCAGGTATATGGCTCATGTTCATCTCTACTTAGTACTATGGTTACGGGAGGGAGGGAGAGAAAGTGTTTGGAAGTAGGAGATATTTCTCCAAGTTATTTTATTTAATCCTTCATTACCTTACATATATATACATAATGGAATAACAAAAATATATGGTAAGGAAATAAAATAACATACGACTATATACAAATATAGAAATAAATGGATGATTTGTGCTTGATTGAATGATGAAATATTCTCCGACGGCTGCACATGAGCTCGAAAGGAAGAGAGGACCGTCGAAACGAAAGGATCATATCCATTGAGTTAGACACGTACGTATATACACACATGTATATACATAAAATGTTCAAACGTATATTATTATTATTATTATTATTATTATTATATTATATTATATTATATGTGTGTACATTGAAAATCGGCAATATTGACCAAAAAGATGTTAGATAATGATCACCATGCATAATTCCCATGGAACGCCTGTGTATAAATATACTGGAAAAATATATAATATATGGTGCTTGTGTGATATGATACTGTCAAATTCATCGATAATCATAATCATAAACTGTTCCATGGGCATGTAACTTTTTATTTTGCTGAAACCATGAACAGCAGCACCAGAGTTTCAAATGATTATTTCATGGAATAAAAATGGCATAAAATATCTTTTTTTTCCAATGAGAATATTAAATGCTCCAAATGGGTTATTAAAGAGATTTGCCACTTATCCACCTCTGAAACATGATGGAGCTCTCATCCGGTTTGAACTCTACCGTGTTTCAGTTCATATAAAAGGCCAGTCCGGTGGACAAAACATCCCGTTAGATGGGGTCCGGTGAAGGAGGTCCCACCTCAAGAGAAAAAAGAAACGACGACAAGATTATGTGCATTACCCGCCGACTTGGTTATCCATCAGCCACGGTCTCCAATCATCGACAATGGAGTAGTTTAGCGATCTTATCCACGCTTGAGTCCCGAGAAATGGCACCCTCAGATCATGATCACCGCTGTTTGATTGTGAATTCTCGGGATTAAGCCAATATTTGTGCACTACAAAAAAAATGGTCATTTCCAACGGATTTCCAACGGATTTTTCCGTTGGAATTTCGTCGTTAGAAATCGGCGTCCGTTGGAAAACCATTGGAATTTTCAACGGAATTTCAACGAATTTTTCCGTTGGAATTTTCCAACGGATTTCTAACCGCAATTTCGGTTGGAAAATTTCAACGGAATTTCCAACCGCAATCCGTTGGAATTTTCCAACGAAATTTCCAACCGATATCCGTTGGAAAATTCCAACG